ATCATTCTTAGGTTGTCCGCCCCTTATCACCTGGAGGCTTACAGGGCGGGCCATAAAATTCGGGAGGTTTTTTATAGAGGTCCCCATCCTCGCGGCCCAGGCGTTTAAGCCAAGACCCTCGTTCCCCCAAAGATACGTCATAGACATAACGACCTCCAGGGGTTTACGATGTATACAGGTCCGAAGTTATCGGGCCTGCGCTGTAGGGGTCCTGGAAAATGCCACGCAGACCCCTAATACTCCCCGTGTGCAGCTGCCCACACAGAGGGCTCTCACGGCCGGCCACGCCGCGATATGCGGCCGTGACTAGGAGGAGTCGTAGGGTTGCCGGGGTGCGGCACCCCTCCACAGAATGTGTGGAGGGCCAATGTACCGGTCCCTGCGACTGCACCTCCCGTCCCGTCGGCCCGGAGATAACCTCCGGGTAGTTCCGACGGGATGGTCCTCCTAGGGTACACGACCCCGACCTCGGAATATGTCCGAGCGGCCCGCGCACCCCTCCACCCCCCGGGTTGTCGGGAGCATAGCTCCCGGCCTGCAATCCCGGGTGTGGGTTCCTCTCCCCACTCTACCCCGGCCAAAACCCGAGTAGGGACGGATCGAGGGCCCCACACTTTCGGCTGCCGGAACACCGGCGTGCAATGCCTACTCATGTGGAACCTTCTCCTCACCCGCGATAGGAGACTACCCATCGCGGAGCGGAGGTCCCTCCAACCCCGAACCCCCCAAGACTGGTAGTGGAGCAAGTTCCACATAACGGCCCCAGTCAGCCGGGCGATTGAAGTCAGGGCCGCCAATCCCTACCGGCAATTGAGCCCATCGGCCCTGTGGGAGTTGTCAAGCTCCCCAGTGGAGGGGTCTTTCGACCCCCTCTAGCAACCGCGGGGCTGCAGCCCACCGCGGTCCGGTTTTCTGTGGGAGTTTTCTTTCCCTATTGCCGCCGTTCGCCAGCGATCCTCAGGTAGGAGCCTCCTTTCCGGCCGAAGCCGAAAGGTACTGTCACCGAGCCTTTATCGGATCGCCGGTACCCCTCCACCACGGTAAGATGGTGGCACGGAGGGGTTCTGATGGATACATATCTTAACTTTGCAAACTTTGTCGGTATGCTTTTACTGCCTATACGTCATCACGCTTCAATTGTCTTTCGTTGTTCATTTTTAATGGACGTAGGATTCTTATGTCAAATGCCAATTGTCGTATAACCATACAAATTAAAGTCACTATAAGAAATTCTACTCACCATAATATGCGAGCGTAGTATTACATTATTTTTAACATTTGTAACGGCCTTGCGTTACGTGAGGGATAGTCTTAGTCGGTTCGGACCGAGGTTTCGTTTGTTAAATGAAAAGCAGTGGTGTAGGTTATAAGAATGTGGAACTATATTCTAATCTCACGGCTGTTTACAATTATTTACATGCGAAGTTACGCCGTTGGCGCGTGGTCGCGTTTTTGCTCTCGTCGGGAGCCGATGTTGTCGTCGCGCGATCAGCTGCGAGCGTCGAGGCGCGCGAGCGTCCGGCGGGACGCGGTCGGGACTGTTTCCCGATATTCTATTGTCCGTCGTTGGAGTTCGTTGACTCGTTGGCTTTAAGCTGATTGTTTACACTGGCTTTTAACCTGGCTGGTTTAAAGGTGCTCGTCGTCACCGGAATCTTACGCCCTGTACGCGTTCGCGAACTTATGTGTTAGCGGCGTGGCGTGAGGGACAGGAGGTCGACGGAGCGGTATATGGATAGGAAGCCGACGTCGCGTATCCACTTCGGTCGGCGGAGCGGTATCGGAGAAAGAGTGTCGACGTCGCGTATCCTCGGTCGACGAAACGGTCTAGGATCTCTGGGAGGTTTCGAGCTCTGGTCGGTTGTGCGCCTTAGAGGAGCTTTCCGATCAATCTCTCTCGATAGCATTTTCGTGTCGGCTTTTATACTAAATTGTAACAAACAGTGAGGCTGTTTGTTGACTTTGCGGTTGTTCGTCGTTAATTTTGTTAATCTAAATAATGTTTATGATTGTCGTGACGATTTCCTGGATCGTTACATCACCCCCCCCCCCCCCCCCC